GAGATGCCTGGCGGCAAAGAACACACTCCCCTCTTCGGGGCCAACAAGGCTATAGATATGGGTCTATCCTATTTCCTGTAACAGTGGATCATGATGGTTCAGTTGCAGGCCTTGATCAAAAACAGTGATAACATGTTTACTTGACTGTTACAAAGTACTGAAGGTCATGATCTTGATGCCCGTCCAAAACCCGCCTGAGTCATGGAAAGCCTTGCGGGACATGGACAGAGTCACCACTGGCTCCTAGGCATGTTGCTACGTCGGTATGTCGCCGACCAATTCCAACAGCTCACAGTTCAGGCTTCCCAAGCGATGGTTGATAATTATTAAGATGTTGTCCAAATATGCATATAATTTGGACCTGCCGCAGTAACGGTCGTAACGGTCGATCATGATATAGTATGATATAGGACCTTCTCTAAACTAGTTAGAATTGTTTCCAGACTGCATGGACTGCGATTTAATAGGATTTGGAGTCTTTGGGTCGTTCCGTTCGGCGGTGGAAGGACACGTAGAAAGCGCAACAATTTCAGGTCGTCTTCACTGCAAAACAACAAGCAAACATCCGCCAAATTGAAAACATGCCTGGAGTGTATAATACGTCTTCGCCAGCAATCCCCCAAGAGAAGGTTCTTCCAGAATGTCCTGGGTGCCAAAGTCCTCAGAAGATCTAGTAGCTCCAAGATGGGCCTAAACACCAAACAACCATCACACTTCTTCCTCAAAGATCTGGAGGCCTCCACATACCTCCATCTCTTCCTGCGCGCATGTATATATATATATATTATATATGTCTTACACTATACAGTATCTACTACGAGTATCTACTTCACGTTATCAATCTGTGCACGCCATATATGCACAAAAATAAGTACAAACACACCTGCGCTGCGCTTGGAAAAAGCGCGGTCCTTCCCGGCCGGACGGATCGTGGCCACATTGTTGCGCTCTTCCATCAGTGACCGACCACCCCAGTAATCACCCTTCCTGGCACATGGGCGGAACCGAACCATAAGGACGACCCTATAGACATGCTAGTGAAAAATGCCATGCCTGTATAGTCATCAATCATAACAAAAATTAGCAATCAACTTCTCATTGGTCTGTAGAATTCCAATTGGTGAAAGCCAAAGGGGACGAAAGCCTGTTACAATCCAGGAAAGAATCATGCAAGCGAAGCAGTTCGGTTCCCTGTTTGTCCTTTTCCACAGTTATATAGGGGGGGTGCATGAGAAGGCTCCCATGCCTGCTATCAAATCGAAGCTGATTTGAATTGGATGCACAGCACTGTGCAGTGCCGTGGTGTTCCCACGCACCCCACCTCCGGCGCCGGCGAAAGACGCGGCAACACCACACCACACTGGCTCTCGCGGCTCCGTTTGCCCGCTCCGCCCGCCTCAGGACGGCTCGGACGATGCCGGGCTCGTCCTCGGACTGAGTGAAGACCTCGGCTTCGCCGGACATGATGAGGTAGAAGGCCTTACCTCAGTTCGCCCCAGTGAAGGCAGCGGGTGAAGGTCGAGGGGATCCCAGCAATTCAGGACCGATCTCCTTCATCGATTCGGTTTCGACGAACAAAAGAGCCACATCCATCTCTTATTAACCAGCCCAGCGAACGATGCAAGTACGATCCAGCCTTTTCGACGAAAGCGCCATGCCCGACCAACGATGCACGACCAACGATGTTTGGAGGACAGCACCACCTGCATGAAATCGTGTGTAAAAAGGGTCACGCAGAGGGCCTCTGTGAACGTTCATATCCCATGACCATGTTATCCGTGGATGATGGTTAGGTTGCAGGCCAACATCTCAACAAATGTGATAATTGACTGCAATGAGACACACCCGAGTCGTCTATCGAAGGGCCATTCACTTCACGGGCCGTTCAGAAGGGCTTGCCCAAGAACGGCCCTTGGACCTGAATAAAGAACGAACCACACCAGGGAGCTCCAAAGGTGTCCAAGTTAGTGTCCAAGTGTTCACCCCGAGATGCACAACTAGGTCTTGGAATGTCTTTGGAAATTCATCAGGGCGCGCAATAGGAACTCCTTGGCGGTGCAACTTTGTAGCCCTGCCCACGGCATGTTTAAAGGCGTTGTCCCGCCAAATGACCTAAATCACCTTGCTTCACGATATCTTGCCCTCGCTGCCATTCTTTCCTCTTCAGCTTTTGCGCCACCTGACCGCCCAGCTCAAAACCCTCGAGCCGGGACCGCCATGGGCCGTGATGGACCGCCACACCGTGTAGACCGGCTTCCGGAGGGTTTGCCCGATTGGGACGAAACGAGTGACATAGATCCCCATCAGGTGCACCCTAATAGTTATAATAGAATTTAAGAGCTATAAAACCGTACAGTTTAGAATGATTCATGTAGTCGGCCTGGAAGAACCCACTGCGATACCACCTAAGAACAACAGCCGACAGCTCTATAACATTATAACATCATTCCGCCCCCAAAACCAAGGCTCCCCTCTCCACCCCTCCATCCCTTTCAATCACATCATTCACTACGTCACATCTGCACCGGAGAAAAACCTCGTTAACATCCCGTGCGACGCATCCAACGATCTCATGAAACCGTCCGACGCAGCTGCCTACCTCTCGGAGCGCGGGAGCTACTCGTCTCGAGCGAGAAGCTGCCTACTCCTCGCTGAACGTCTCGCCTTGGGAAGCTCGGAGCGGGGCAGCTGCGTCTTGAAGAGCGGCACTGAAGCCAAGAAGGTCACGATCTCCTGCTGCTCGCGGCCACGAGCACTCGGTGGCGCGGTTGGTTGGCGTCGTGTGGACTTGATCGAAGTCTCAGAGGGGCGAAGAAAACAAGAACAAAGGGGAGGGAGGGAGGGAGGGGGGAGGGAGGGAGGGAGGGAGGGAGGGTTACTAGAAACGGTCGACAAAAAAGGTAGATGGATCTCAAGTGATTTTAGCATAATGTATGCCGAGGAGGATCCACTGCGAGCTATCTGGGTGTGTAGGGGGTGGGTGATTTCTTGCCCTGAAAGCTGATGACTAACAGATTGATTGAAGTCTAGCACCCCACAGGGCAGCCAAAAACACACTCACACATGAAACCGCGTCCTCAAAGTCCTCTCTGCAAAGATGCATGTCCTGCCGGCGTTGTTTCGCTTCATAATTTTCAGAGCCAAAGCAGTACCTTTCGAGGACTTCCGGCAGAATTGCTCGTTCTGCTCTCTGTGGGTGCAGCATCCCTTTGCAGCTGACGGTCGGTTTCAAAGTTTCAACTTCATGGTATGATGCCCTATAGGGATCTATATAGGGAATTTATTGGTACCTTTCTCTTTTGTTCACAGCGACCCTTTCTCTTGTATGCAGCGTCTTTCAAGAACAACCATCTCGCTTGTTCCAAACATGTCTCCCCCGTTGCGATGCGTTGCACGTTCTCTCACTCCGCCACGCTGGAAGCGAGGTCTCATCCAACACCGGAAGTCGAGCTCGCGAGGTCGGTCAGAAAAGAGGCGATTTTGCCCCGAGAAGATCCACATGTCTTGGGTCCTGATACTTGATACCTGTGAAAGAGGCTACGGCTAAAGCGCCCCGAAGAAGATCCACATGTCGATGCCGTAAAGCTGGAAAAAAGTCCGACATGACAAGGGAGCGACTCGACGACTGGCACTAAACACCGATCACCTGCTCTCTAGTCTCTAGAGGTTGACCCAGGCTTTTCTCCACATTTTTCGGTTGAGAGGAAGTCACAGGAAACGGATGGAAGCGAATGGTATCACCGAACCCCTGCGTGGGTTGTCCAACATCTCTTGGCAGGATCACGTGGAGAAGCCCCGGTAGTTCCGGTAGCTTCGGCGGCGCCAAGCGCCGCGGCACACGGTGGGATCACCCAGGGACCAACGAAACACTTAGCTGTCTAATAGGTCCTTCGCAACCTGCTACATGGTTGATTGTGACTCGTTGATGGAAGGTGAGACACACCTGAGTGATATTAAGCCCAAAACAAACACACACATATGCACATGGGCTCATACACAGTCTGCTCGACATCGGTCCTCCACTACCTGGCCATGAGCCACGTTGCTCGTGAACCATGCACTCCAACAACTCCAGCAGCTGGGCGCCATAGCGCTTGGAGCTGCGGGAGCAGCTATGAGTGTTCTGAAGACGAGACGGGATCAAAAGGGCTCCAGTCTGCCATGAAAAACTGGGGTGGACGATGAATCGTCACGATTTTCCCACCACTCTTTCGGCACGACTGGATGTAGGATGAGCTCTCGATCTGACCAAAGGGATCCAACGGGCGAACAACGTAAGGGCTGTAGGGGATCTGCTTGGACAAGCATGCCCCGGCTCCGGATCGGCTTGCTCGGTGGATGTGTGCAACGGTGCAACCGCGGTTCTCCGCGGTTCTTCCAAATTCTGGATTACTCACTTGAGACAAAGGACGAAGCGGAGAACTCCAACCGACAGCAAAACAACTATAAACATCATCCAGCTTCGTTTTCAAGTCCGATCTTTTTCATTGTTGTTTTCATCTCTTCGGCGTTCCGTCCGGTTGGGAGGCGACGACGCCGGGCTTCTGTTGAAACAGGCCATAGCCCCCCCCCCCGTGGACGAGCTGGATGCGGGGTCGACGGGCCTCATGCAATCACCGGAGTCCTGGAAAAACACGGACATCAAACGGACAAACACACGCACACACATATTTCCTACTCCGGATCCCGTCTGGCGAAAAGAGATTGCTTCTCTCGCACATGTCCACAGAAAACAACACACCACTTCTCTCTCTCTCTCTCTCACTGTTCCATGGTTGGAGTATGTTGGAGTGAAAAAATAAGAAAATAACACACCACGACCAGGACTCAAAACTGTTTTGGCTGGAAGTGGCGCGACTCCACGATCGGAGCTTGGCACAAGTTTGGTCCCGAAATGCAAGAAGCAGAAGAAAACACTAAGTCAAGGGCTCAATTATTTAAGACTGGGTCTGCTGATGGTCTGTTTCCACCTGTCATCTGCCACCTTTTTTCCTCATCTGCTATTCCAGAAAGCCCTCGAAGACCAAAGGCCTGCGCCGAAACTCGGGAAGGGGTTTCCGATCAAGATCGCCCACAACACTGGGGGAATTCCATGAAAGCTTGAGAGTGGACATCTTCATGGCGGCAGCAATTGTTGCAACCATCAACATTCTCTGCAGGGTTGGCAGTTGATAGGAAAGTCGTGGTAGTGGAATCGAGCAATAGCAATAGCTGTTGGTGTTTTGCTGGTGGTGAGGTGGTGGTGGTGGTGCCGCTGTAACAACCCCCATTGGCCCAACACAAATGTTGATCATGGTCGATCGAGATTTGCTGCACCCATTCCATAAACAACTTCTCATCAGGAACACAGCTATACAGTTCACTGCACTACATCGAACGTTGGGCCGCGGCATGTCTGTTGCACGCCTAGGCCAAGGGGCGTGCCTGTGGTCGGAGGTGTCCAAAGACTTGGGCAGAACCATTCCAAGGCCTCCTGTCCGACATCATGCACAAGCCTTCATGTTTATTGCCATAGGTATTCCCCCCAACATATTGTTATATTGTTTTTGTTTGAAAACAATTATATATATATATATCATATATCTATACATATCTACATCTATTAAGTATACTTTTATTATGTTTTATTTGTATACATATAGAAATTAATACAATGTACATACAAAGAGCGATAGTGAGAGAGTCAAAGAAAAAAAACAAGAAAATCAAACAACAAAAAAACACAAGATTCCACAAGTACAAGTCAGTGGTTTCGGAGATCTGTTGGGTGGTCTAAAATGCGAACCTTGGAAACCGACGCGGAAAATATCACCTTGCTCTAGAGAACGAAAAATCAACATGAGGCATTTGTTTTCTTACAACATCTTACAACCATACAGCTGGCAAACTGACCTGGACCTTTGAGGTTGCCAAACGCGGCATCTAGCGCCAAAATGAAGAGCACTGAAGAAAGGGGGTGCACAAAAACAAACAATAACTCAAAATTTCGAACTGACAAATGTGCAAAATAAAACCGCCCTCCCTGACAGAAGCCCAAAAAAACCGGAGACCCCACAGTGGCATCCACGACTCCCGAGCCGTGTGAAGTGAACGGTCGTTCGTCATCGGTCAAGGTCATACGATGCAAACAGTCAGTAGTCACCTGTAGTCTAATCACGATTGTCTTCCTTTTTGGACACAAATGATCACAAATGGGGCAGCAGAAAACCCTTTGATGGTTTTTCGAGTTTGATATGCTGAACCGTTGCTCTCTGTCGGCCTTGAACCTGCTTCAGCCGCTGATGCTGCCGGTCCTGGTTTGGTTGGTCTTGCGTGGCGGCCCCCCAAACGCTAACAACAACAACAACAACAACAACGTAGTAGTAGTAGTAGTAGTAGTAGTAACCCGTCAGCTAAGCCTCTGCACATTTTTTTACTTAGAACTTCTCCTCCATCCTAGAAACAATACTGCAGCCCCGTTGTTGTTTTTTGGACCCACCCCCTCCGGAAGAACACCTCAAAAACACGAAAAACGGACCAGCCCAGACTTCAGTGAAACAAGTCCAACAAGTCCACCTACTTACGAAACCAACATTCGCTCAAACCTTCAACCGTATCCCTAACCTTGACCCCTTGAAGTTCCAAAGCTACAACATGTGACAATGATGTTGGGCGGCTGTTTTTGTTTCTACCAACAACAACAACAATACCTCCAGTCTGGTTCCTAGGCTGGACATTGTTGGATCCTAAATGGATCGAGCCAGCAAGAAGCACTGGTCTGGGCGTTGGTGCGATAGAGAAGAAAATTGAGATCCGACCCTGCTTGACCCTTTTCAGATAGTACGTTGTTCAGTACGGACTGTTTTTGGCAGCGCACTCCAGCAGCTGTCCGTCTTGGGTTGTGCCACGAAGGGGTTGTGACGGGTTGTGTCATGTTGTGTTCCTTCTTCTTCTTCTTCACCCAAAACGGCACCAGCAAACCCGTGCGAATCGTATACTTGGATTTGCTTAAAGAACCTGGAAAAATAAAACATACTTGCAACCTCTTTTTTGGGTGGTCAGTAGTTCAACACAGCTTTATTTAAGTCTGTGAGCCACATAAACATCCGCTTGAAAAACAAGTTCGGGAAGAAATCCCTGTGGCTCACCAATAAATGCCCTTAGCTTGTGTATAAATGCCCGTGGAATATCATTAAAAAAACAACAAATAACTAGAGAAACATCCGCAGACTCAAATACAAGGCTGTGACTCCAAAAGGTGTTTTCAAAGCACTCTGAGGAAGTTCCAGGTATCAATATTTCCCATGAGGGGATTTAACTTAAAGATCGAGGAAACGCATGATCTATCATGATCTTAAAACCATGTATATATGTGCATGTGTATTTACAATATTTTACAATATGCTCACATCGCCCCACCGATTCTTCCGGTCCAGCTGGCCGTGGAGCTGCAGCACCGATCGGAGCAGATCGGACACGACCTCCTCACCGAGCGAGCTCTGGCGGTGAGGTCGAGCTCGGACGAGGTCGCACCCGGTCGGTCGGTCGAACGGGTAAAGCTTGAGGGTTTTTTGGAACAAGCGCTACAATCAGCACATGTAAAACTTCTCTGATTGAGCCTCCACCTAGTATCTTGTTTGCTACTATAGTAATGCCCTTGTGACTAGTTACTAGTAGTTTCCTGTTGCTAGCGATGGCCCTCAACCTAATAGCGATGGCCTCCACCTAGTAACGTTCTTGTTGCTAGTAGCCACACATGCCGACAAACGTTTGAATTAATATCTCTGGTGCTATGAGGTCATACCCTACACGTTACTTGAAGGTGCCGTACGCCATCGTCTGCTTAAAACAGAAACGTGATCGTTGGAGGTCTGGGGCAAACTCGCTGAGAGCGTCGGCACAGGGGGCCGGTAAATCTGTGGTCCCAGTTGACCCGGTTGAACCCAGTTGACTTTGTGTGATGGCAAGTATGGTAGTGATAGTGATAGTGGTAAAGGAAGAAGAAAGATGAGTAGTAGTAGTAGTAGTAGTACAAGTAGAAGTAGAAGTAGAAGTAGAAGTAGTAGTAGTAGTAGTCGTCGTAGTCGTAGTAGTAGTAGTGGTAGTAGCAGTAGTAGTAGTAGTAGCAGTAGTAGTAGCAGTAGTCGTAGTAGCAGTTGTAGTAGTAGTTGTAGTAGTAGTGTAGCAGCAGTAGTAGTAGTAATAGTAGTGGTAGTAGTAGCAGCAGCAGCAGTAGTGGTAGCTTGTTGGGGTTAACTGGGTTAACGGGGTCCGGAGATTTAGCGTGGCCCCCTATGCGGTCGCTATGAACTCGTTGCTGTTTCTTCTGAGTCCTACAGCTCCTAGAATGTCCAGCCAGTCAGCTCAAAACTGTAGGCTGTAGGATTCTGTAGTCTTTTTGTACCTTTTCTTGTGGTCCAAAATATAGGGAGACCTTGACTTAAACAGCAATTTCCAAATGCTTCATACATCTTCATACCCTACAGTGCAATGACCTCATTGTACTTGAGTCCGTTATATAAAAACAGAAGACGAGGTTTTACATGGCTTTACTGGGTGAAACTGGACTTGTAGGGTATCAGCAATGTCCTTTTTGAGGGGGCGACTCCTGCCGCACCGGCGCTGGCGGCCGCCAGGGGTGGCGCCAACGGTCGCGGGACAACGACGGCGTGGTCGCGGGGTCCACCTCCTGCGCAGGGCACTTTCTTGGCGGGTGGAGGAATAGGTCTAGTATGCCAGGAGCTACTAGTAGCGATGCCCTTGTTTAGATCCTCTCTTGGAGTAAAGTTACAATTACAAACTTGTTGTGTCAATTTACAAGTGTCATATATAATTACACGCAGTTGGAAATTATTATGTCATGTGCCTTTCATTCTGTGCGTTGTTCATTTTCATGTGTTTTGCATTGATTCGGCTGTCCCACGGTTACAGGGAACTCTAGTGGAAGTTAAGCACCAGGGCTCTGCCCTGACAAAGCAGTGACTCTCGGGCTGCTGCAAATAAAACAACTCAGTCAAACACCTAGAACACCCAGCCAATCGCACACTCCCCATGCATGGAACATTCAAACACTAAACACGCACACATTTTGGTGTGGTTTCAGGGGGTCAATGTAGGCAAATTATTCCATTCGCATCCAGTGTCTGAGATTGCTTGGGCATCACGTTTCAGGTCCCGTTTCAGGTCCACGATCGCTCTAGCCTCCCTCGAAGCTGACATGGTTTTCACACCTCAACAATGTACAATTGAGTCTTCCATTTGCCATGCTTTAAACCCCGTGATTCTAGAATTTCCAGAATTCATCCACGAATCATGAATTCACATCTCCCTCTTTGTCGGGTCTTCTGACACCTTTCAGACACCCCATCAGGCCACTGCTTGGTTGATGTTCCGAATCTCTTCGTGACCGAAGTGGTCTCTGAACACATGCGAAGGCTCGCCTGGCGCGAAGGCACGCCATCCTCAGGTGTGACGGTGCGCTTGGGCTTCAAGTCCTGCGCGAAAGGCACCGAAAGGCACGGGCCGCACGGGAAGGTCACAGGATCGAAGGAAAAAAAAGACTGGTGGGAGGATGCTTTGCAAATGGATCGCCTGAAGGATAGAGATAGACAGTGAACCTGCTTACCTTAAGGTGATTGGGGGGTTCTATTTAAGTTACGGTTCGGTCACGATCAGAGGTGCTCTTCACTCCGAAAGTTACATGCAACCACCCGCTGGCATGCAACCCCCCCAAAAAAATGACTTCAATTGGACACCCAACTCTAGCGCGACTTGCGATCCTAGTCTATCGCGGCATGTCACGGCCACCCAAAAAGCCACACTCCTCGAAGATGGAGTATGTACCCACACAACTGGATCAATACACAAAATGGATCTCCTCGAGTAGATGGAGTATAAATATGACCCAAACGCTCCATGTATGCCATATATGCCTACATTGGGGTGGTTTGAGGGGTCAATTGATCGGCATATATGGCATACATGGAGCGTCTGGGTTATTGTATGATCCCAAAAAAACCGAGCGATGCCGCACTCCCACGCGTTCACAGGGACTCCTCGAGTTGACGCTCCAAGAGCCTCACCTGCTGCAAGGCCTCCGTCGAGGCGGCCAAGGCCCGCAGCCAGGGCAGGCGCTGCACCGTGTCCGCCAACACCTCGAGACCGGCGCGCGGCACGGACGTCGAACGAATCGCATGAAACAAACGCAACGGCTGGAGTTGTTGGACTGTTCTAAGAAAGCGAACCCGTAACCTTCCTCATGACTATAAATGCAAACATGTTCAACTGGTCGATCTCCACTACTATATAAGCAAACCAATGATCTATACAGTATACATGATAGTACATGGCATGACCAACAACTGGTCCATCTCATTTTAGACCCAGCTTCCGCGCGGCTGTAGGCACGAAACGCGCCGAAGTCGGCTTCCGCTTCGGCTTGGCAGTGCCACTGGAGGCCTGAAGACCGGACATCACATCGAAGACACGCACACACACACACACACGAGACAAACATACAGAAAAACACCTGGCACCTGGTAGGACCTCCAAATTGCTCTCTGGACCACCCGATTCTGCGATATTTCAAGGTTTTGAACGGTATGACTGTGATTGGTCTCGCATCCCGCCCAGAGAAAAACTCCCAAGCCTCGCATCCGTCCCGTGAAACCGGGTCCTCCCCACCGTGTCCTGAAGGAGCTGCGGGTCGAAACAGCATGAAGTCGCCCGTCGCACCTGGATCTGATGCGGTCCGCGTGGGGATGGATGCTCCGGAACATCAGGAATCAGTCTCGTGCTGTCAAACCAGTTCAACCTGCGCAGAAGGGCGCTCCAATCGCGATCCTCGATCGACATGGCCAGAAGTAGCTCAAATCTGCGTCCATGAACTAAACCTTGGACTGGCTTAAGGAACCTGGGTTCAAATCGACAACTATTTCACCACACCACACACACACCACACACCGCACAGATCCATGGCGCACCTAGACATGCCCTTCCCCGATGCGCAAATATTTAACTGTAAAAGGGGATTTAGCGATTTACATGGAACATCATGGAACATCGAACATCAACCGGATCAGCACAACCAGGATCCGATGCTCCTGGGTTTGGGATTTTGGCGATCTGAAACCAAACACCCATCGCTCTTGCCAGAGCATGATGGTAGTAGTTATGCCTGGGGTCATTTTCATGTAGGTAGCTATTCCAGTCCGTCCGCTGGCCAGGGCGCAGGGATTGCTTTCGAAGGCGGTGGCTTCCATCGGCGCCACCGACTGGAAGCTGCTCCAGAAGGCATCCTCCACCCGATCCACGGATCACCTCACCTCACCTGTACCGTGAACGGGTTCCAAGGGTTTACATGATGGAGATCCACTTACGTAATGTATTCGAAGAGCCGTATACTTAACCAAGCGGTCCATGGTGTCTCGCAAGTCCGAGGTCACTTAGGTCTGTAATGGTCTGCATTAAAAGAATCACAAGGTCACTATCAGGGACTGCAAACAGGTCACTGTGAGCAAAAATTAGCAAATCCTTCACAGGTGTGGTTCTGGTATGTTCTGGATTGCTGGAGAACTACTATGACTGTTATATATAATTCATTAGTGATACCTTTCCATTGTGGTAACACATGCCACATCAGGAAGATGGTGCAACACTACATCGAGCCCTTATCCATCAACAGTACCACAGTCCAGTCACAAAGGTACAAATCTACATGCCATGGCACAAAAGGTGCTAATATATATATATATATATGTGATAATATATGTATTTATTGCTTTTTAGGACAAAAGCATGAACAACCACTCAAACAGGTAGGAAAAAGACCTCTGCTAGACCCATCATCCGAGCACCATGCCTTCCTTCGAGAATCGCACCGCCCTGCCCGCAGCAAACTGGTAACACCCAGCCCTGGTAGCACCAAGGTGGCCAACACATCCTTTCCAAGTCAGCAAATACCACAAAAAATGGGGACACCAAGTCAGGACTTATTGTGAACAAACACTTTGCAGGAAAAAGTGAAGTGCAAAGCAAACCTTGCAAGAATCGGAACCAGTCTCCTCATACCCCGCACCATTCAATAACTTCTTACCTTATACAAACCCTCGGGATGTCATAAACTGTTACGTTGTTCTTCCTGTCCATTGTCCGACACTTTTAGGCCGCCGGTCCTCCGCCATGAGCTCCTTCAGCTGTCCCTGCGAGCAGTTCCAGTCGCCCAGTAGTGCCAGCGCGGGCGAGTGCCCGGGCTGCTCGGGCACCAAGGAGAGCCTGGGTGATGGGATCGATTGGCGGATGCGGTGTGCGCCGTGGAAAAAAATAGGACACCATATTCTGAAATTGCGCGAGAAACACCCAGCACATCTCCCCGCCATGGGATTTTTTCCATTGAACCAACGAAGATGTGGTCGCAAAAATGGCCGCTGGTGAACAAACCTGAGGTGGGCTGAAGCAAAATTCATGCCAAAAAGCATCATTTCCTTCAATGGCTCCAGGTACTGCAAGTACGCTGCCTGCAACGAGATCGTTGTCGCATGGTCGATTGTTTGTGTGGGTGCTGGGGGGAATCGAGCTATGTGTATTTAGTATTGAGCACGTAGATGGAGTGAGATGATGGAAGCTTCGCGCCCAAATGCTATTCAAACTGGACATGGATCAAACCAGCTCTGGTGGACCATCTGAACAGTTTTTCTCACCTACTCTGCCTGGTCGCTGCTCTATCTAACACAACGTCTCGTCCCCACCGAGTCGGTCGCTCCGTCGCCCACTCAGAAATGAGGTGGTGCAAGAGAACTCCTTCGACAGTGCTACAGCTGAAGGTCGTCGAAAGGTAGAAATGACATGGTAATTTACTGTGACTAGAAATGATACAGCCAGAAGTCTGCTAATATGAGGCTGTCTCAGCCCAATCCTTTCCAACAGGACTAGCCCCTCCTGTAGTTTCTGGTCATCGCTGCTTCTTTCCAAAAGTGGGTCGCAAACCCATACATTGAATGTAAAATCCGCCGACCCCAGCCTAGCATAGTCTTGGATGTGGAAAGCTGTACATTGCCCTTTCAATTGCACGACGAAAAAAGGGGTCGGCGGCACCAGGGCGGAGCCCTTACTATTTGAATGATCCTGTTGTTTCGTCTCGTTCTTCCCGGTGCGGGCCGTGCCACTCGGCGGATGCAAGTGCACCGAACACAGCACCTGAGAGGCCGCGCGACACAGAGGCTAGCGCGCGGCGGGAGCCGCTTTTGGAGCTCAAACGCGCAAATCCAAAGATCATCCAAATCACAAACCTATCAGGGTGGAGGAGCATCTGCCAACTGGGTGTTTTTGTTGGATGTCCACATCAATGAACCGATCAAGATCTCCAAACGTCCGCCCCCCCCCGCCCACCCTCCGCGGACTCTCCGCCCGCTCCGCTCTGCTCCGTGGGTGACGAATTCGAGAACCCCAACAAACCCTCGATCTAATTCATCTACCAGGAGTCACAAAGGGGTGGTGTTTAGTCTCCAAGTGAGTGGATAATGGGCACTCCTAACCTCCATTAAGCACCCCTTTGTGACTGCTGGTACATGCAGTCAAATAAACAGCCATTTTGCAGGATGCACTCCCCTACATGATCAGAAGAAGCCCGTAGGAGGCCAGTGGCGGGTGCGAGCGCCAGGGAGCCAATGGAAAGGTGCCCTCCAGCAAGATCCCGCAGTGGTCGCGCCGCGCCACACGCCTCAGGCGTTTCGCCAGTCGCGGTGGTCGCGCCTCGCTGTTTCCCCGAATCTTCCAGCGGCTGAAATTCATGTACCCAAACACTCATGAACCCTCATATGGAAGGGTCGGAGACCCTGTGGAGGGGTCTGGGATCTCAAAGCCCTAGGTTTTGAGGGACCAAGAGGCTGTTTGGAGCATCTGGAATCTGGTTACATATGTAAACGCACAAGAACCACGGACCGCCATCCTCTGCCAAGGCTCCCGCTACCAGTGGGCATCGTTAACTCGCAATGGGCCTTTCCTGCGGAAACCGTCGTCCGAGTTGAGGGGGGCACATAGGACACAAAGCTCCTCAAATATGGCCCAGTAGCTACGGTCTCCAGCCTAGTAGGGATGGCTTCCAACCTACTAGGGATGGCCTCCAACCTGCAAGGGATGGCCTCCACCTCCTACTAGGGATGGCCTCCAACCTAGTAGCTATGGCCCCCAACCTACTACAAATGTAGTAGCGATGGCCACCAACCTACTAGGGATGGCCTCCAACCTAGTAGCGATGGCCTCCAACCTCCTGTGGATGGCGCCAAATGTCCTCCCAACTTGGATTCGATTTGGTGATGACTATATAATCTCTAAGAGTCTCCGAGACGTCTCCTTCTGATCATGAAATCCTGCCGATGAACATGAGCTGGTGAGCTGAGCCCCGAATGTCAAAACATTCACGTTGTGAGTGAACACGGGCGCCCATCGAATGTTTCCCCAAAAAATGAACCACATCAAACCCCAGTACCTGACCGCCACCATCACCGCCTCGAATCCGCCAGCGGCTCGCCGGGCCCAAGAGCACGGCAGTGGTCGAATCCACCGGGATGCCACGGGCGTCCACATGTGGCGCGCTCTCCACCTGGCGCGACCGTCCGCAGTTTGGGCGTGTGCAGTCTGGCCCGAAAGAGAAGACGCCAACACAAAACAAGCGATGAAACATGCCATGTCAGCCATGAGTCTTAGAGTCTTGGAGATCTAATTGATGGTCTGATCTATCACAAAGCAATGTCGGATCAAGTAATAGCTCATAACGTAGATCGATTTTGGATAGAATAGATCATATATATATAATATAACCCTACACCTCCATGATCCAAGTACCTCCTCGGAAGGTATGACTGGACACTCCTGGCACCCACCCCAGTCCCACCTTCGAAACGAAGGTACGACTGGAGGCCTATAGGGTAATAGATAATCATAGAATGTTGGATAGATCAGATTGCTAACAGGATCCACTAGGATCCACTACGGGCTTTGATCGCTCTGGTCCGGTGTGGTCCGCTGGTCTTGTGTCCGGTGTGGTCCACAGCAGTGGTCCTTGGGCTTTTGGGCACATCCCACTGGAAGCTAATATGGAAGTGAAAATTCCCCTGTACAAGTAGCTGTCTAAAGGGAACATGATCCCATGTTAGTTGCAGGGAGTTTTTTTCCCGCGGCCCAGAGTGGGTGATTACCGAGTGTTACAGGTAGGACCAGTGGCCACGTCACCTCCAGGTGACGTGCCCCCCGATGTATCGATATACATCGCACAGATCATGTCTCTCATAGTTTTTGATAACTACAATCTGAGCTAATTACGCTTCAACATCATCTCCGTGTATATAACAATTACATGACTCTTCAGTGGAGTCCATCATATCGTTTGGAAGTTCTATCCAATTATTCGTTGCATTATGTTTGTGGCTGATATTCCATGTATTTATATTACAGTGCTTCCTATCCTGATATTGTTTGCCTACATCACTTGGCATTTCCGGGGTCGAACCGCCGACCTTCCGGACAAGTTCCGTACGTCGCGCGCGCGTCCCGCGTCTTCCGCGACCTCCCTCCCAGACGAACGGAACCACCGAGTGCCCAAACCCATCGATCGGGGCCCAGTCCTGGACGCGGAGATGAAAGATGGGCTCCGCCGTGCGGTGCGGAGCGAACATTGGGAGAAACCGGAGCGATGTGAGGCGGCGCGAGCAAGCGAGCGATGTGGGCCTGCCGAAACGAATCATGCCTCTGAATCCCCCACAGCACTGAATTGTGGGAGGCCTCTGCGGTGAAAATGATGCAGTTTTTCCAGAGCAAAAAATGAATTCGAATAAACCATGTAGGATGTGTCGAGAATGTTCACGATGTTTCGATGAAAGGCGTGCTCGCCAGACTTCGCGCTGAAGCCTGGTCCCGATTGAACATGGGATAGAACTGGGATATAGGTCCACCACTAGGTCCTTATTCCTTGGTCCAGTCTATCCAAGTCCTTTCCCGGTCTGAACTAGGTCTTTTCCCACCCGGTCTCGTTTTGATCCTTCCTCTTTCGGTCCTTCAGCGCCCAAGCACGTCCGCAATGCCTGGTCCACCTGCAAAACTCGTCCGCGGGGTGTGAGTGTCCCAAGGCATCGGTTTCTGGGTCTTGTTCAGGTGGTTTGGTGTGTATTTTTGAAGGCTTCTATAGCCCTTTTCTTTTGGTGGTACTTGTCCACCTGGGTGGAAGATGGAAGTGGGTAAGAGCAATACGGTCACCGGTTTCGGGCTACGCCAGTTCAGCTGCTGTGTTGGTGAGCTCGCTGTTGGGCTTCTCGTTTCGTCTTTCGCAGGCCGAGCGCCTGTTGCGTTGGGACCGTCTCCCCGCCTCTTGCAAGGCCACCAGGTCGAAGGCATCAGCCCAAGGCCTTACGGGGACCGGAACCCGTGGCCCCCATTGGTTGTGCGACGATGTGAGGCACGGAACATGATGATACATACAGTATAGCATCATATATTGCATAAGTACTCCCTAAAGTAAGAAAACGGGTAAGTCAGTGAGTTGAGTCAAGGCAGTAGTCACTACATGGTTGTAACTAGGAGGTGGAGCAGCAGCAGCAGCAGCTGCTTTCTATGAACATTGCTGCAACATTATGTGTATAAATTGTGTCTGCCAAATTTGTAAATATACATGTAAAATACTGTAGTTTCTACAGTTGGACAGAAAGGCCATTTGAAGAGGCCGACGCAGTCTGAGTAAAGCATATACTAGCTAGTATATATACAGTATAATTACATACATGAATGCTCTTACGGTCTAAGAGGGTGGGGTTGCTCCCAACACATGCCCTGTGCAACTGTCCAAATCACAGTGCACAATATTAGTTGGACAAGTCATATAGAATTACAGGAACACATGTGTTGATCGATCCCGACTGTTCCTGCAAGGACAGGCAATCACATGGCTTCCCTCGTCAAAACCGGGGAACCCTGAGGCCTAGTTCTCGCGAATGAACAGAATGGACGTTAGGTCGACCTAAAAGGGCTTAGAGCATTGACCCACGGCGCCATGTCTGGTGGCCAGGAGCGGTCCCCAGAGATCGTACCCGCGCACCGCGATCTGTGTTCCGCTCTTTTAGCGAAAAATCCACCCCATGAGGTTGGTGTTTATTGTTTTGTTGCTGGGGCCGGCGAAAGTGGACAACTGGCCGCCTGGAACCCGTTTGGAATCTTCCTTCCCATCTTCTTCCTCGGTTTCTGCCCTTCCCATCCAAAGCACCCAATTGTCCTCTCATCCCCCAAACGGACCGAAGAATCCAAACACACAATATGTATGGCGACGACAGTCTGGTTTTGCGGGCTTCCGATGGACCTGACCGTATTGCCCGTACTCGAATCATGTTGACGACATGGTCCCTGAAATCTTCCCATAGGGATCCAAGTGCCTCCTCAAAAGGTACTTGGACCCTCCAAACCCACTTCTCAAAGGGTACTTGGATCCATAGGGTTCGAACATGGTCCCTGAATGGGGGTGATAGGTCCGGATCGAGCCGGACAACTAGGTCATCAAGTCAGGTCTGGACGGATGGACGGTCGACGTATGGTCGACGTGCCAGGCACCGAAGTTCAGCATATTGCAGGCGCAAGGTCTTCAGAAGTTCATCACGCCTGGGAAAGGTGTTCAGGGACGACTCGGGAAACGTCCCGGCGTAGGGTGAAACGAAGCCGGTCATGGGTGACCTGATCCGGCTTAGCAGGGTGATCATGGCTGGAACCTGACACCGATCACCTGAGGATGTTACTGGACGGTATGTCTACCAGGTATACAATAAATTGGTCCAAAGAATTGGCCCGAAACATTCTCCTTCCGATCGCCCACCGAACATCCGGGCGGCGCGTCCGAGCGTCCGAGCGATTGGAATCAGGTCGAGTCGAAGCCAGGTACCCTTGACCTTTTCCCTGGAAGTCCAAAGACTATACTTTCTCTGAGTGAAGTCAAGGAAAACCCCCTTTCAGATCCCATAAAGACCATTCTTTGTATATTTTGACTTTGACTCCCAGGGTATATATGTTGGGTCTATCCATGTCATCCCGGGCCCCAAGTGGATGATGGGGCCAGCCACTGGCCCAGGCCGAAATCCATCTCAAACATAGTGATGGTCTTGTTTTACTGAATGTGGCGGGTAATAGGACAAACCCAACCTATAATCAATATATTTGTTGTATACACGAACAGGGCTATTCCCTCTATGAAGTTAGCCAACCAGCCAACCAACCAACCAACAAACCAACCAACCCAACCCAACCCAACCCAACCAAAAACAAACCAAACCAAACCAAACCAACACAAAACCAAACCAACCAAACCAACCAACTATATGGTAGAAGGCCAGCTCTATTATGATTCCCATCACTTCCCAAATCCTGGACTTCGGCACCTACTTGGAGATCTTAGAGCTTCGCCAAGCTGCTCCTGTCGGTTGGCCTTTGCCTTCAGCCCAGCAATCCATGGGCAGTCGCGCTGCGCATAGCTCCCCTTCGCAGAAAAGCACAAAAAGAGCGCGCGCGGAAGAAGAGGCCCCTTGGGGACACCTGAAGTGTGAAAAACAGCACCGTCAGTGGAGTAGTGCGCCTTAGCTGTAAAACCACGACCGCAAGTGGCACCACCAGTTGATAACCCGATTTCTCGAACCAATTTGCATTTAGCAAGTAGCATCCTTGCTCCTAGTAGCGATGCCCTTGCATTTAGCAGAACATGAAATTCCTCTCTTTCCGGCGCTTCGTAGAGCACTGTATGCACATGATTACACATGCAGCCCAGTGGAAGACTGTGCCACCCGTATAGTATGCTGTGTTTGCCCTCCGTCAAGGATTCATGGTTAATGTCGCTGCAAACTTATGTGAAAGAACCTCCGCTTGCATCAACACCTGGAGATTTACACCAGGAAAATGGCACCTTTCTCGGGCAAGAAGCTGATTGTGAAGTCACCAAACTGCCAGCACCATGTCACCAAACTACCCCTAACTTCCCCAAAAAGTCCACGTGCCGGTGAGCACCTGGGCGTGGAGCAACACCCGTCTGCAGAATGGCTATCCACTCAACGCTGGAAGGCTAATTAATGATGTTGGCAACATGGAAGGGAAGTGATATTGGATCATGCATGCCCTTAATTAACTTCCAGCTGAAAGTGAGTGTTCATCCCAGTGATTCCCAACATATCCTGGGAATCCACTGTGACTGAACCATCAGCCCAGAAATCAACCTGAGTTCTTAGTAGAACACATATATGAGACATTCATGAAAATGGAAACAAGACTTTCATATCAAATACCTGCTGGCCTCTATATAGTTAGCAGGCAGCAGGACCCTTTTTGAAGGAACGGATCATCGCCAGGCTGCGAACCATCGTGGGAATCGGAGACATCACCCCTTTTTGCTCCTTTTTGCTCGGCGCGGGTGCACCTCCGCGGCCTCCGCCTAACTCGCACGGAGTCCGTCCGCATCAAGGGGCGATGATGAAGATCGCCCTGGCCAGCATCTGCCGATGATTTGGAAGGAACCGCACCACGAGAACGTCCTCGTTTCCGCCCGCGAAGCCCCCAGCGCCGCACTCACTCACGAAGACCTGATAGGGCGTCGAGCTGGGTCCAGAGGTCCAGGCTTCCATGCAGGCCTTTTGGATCTTCTTGGCCATGCTTGAGGGATCCTTATCCCAAGAAGCGACAAGCGTATTCTTCAACCAGTTCATGTCCTTGTCCTCAAAGTGCTTCGTCTTGCTGAGAACATCCATCTTCGGTGCACCTGGCTTGCCACTGGACGATTCAACGTCCTTGCCAACCTCGTCACGGATTGCGAAGACTGTGAGCAGAAAACAAGCGAAAAGGCATCCACGCATGGCAAACATGTTCAAAGCCACAGGACAGTGAAAAGGTTCTGTGGCACAAGCAACGGCTACTAGGGCCTCATCTTGAGAGAGCCATCTAACGACGCCGCGGTGACATCAACACCAAGAAAAACTCAGAAAACGAACTATTATATAATTATATATCAATATCCGTTATCCTATGTTTTTCTTGAACTGGAGCCAGTTTTTTTGACCATTTGTTACACCAAACATCTACAGCTGCCACTTCCCAGAATGTATGCTGATGTATGCTGCATTGATCAAAACATTGTAAAACATCAACAGGAGGACTTCGTAGCGTGAGTCACTGCCACCTCCAAACTTATGCGAATCTTTCAGGTGGAGCTGCCACTTCTTTGGGTCAGTTGCCCCTGATTCACTTGGTCTTGCAAAATCATCCACCCAAGCATGGTGAAAGTGTGGGTTGTCTCGCACGTCGACCAAATCCCTCCCGTTCTTCCCTTCCACCCTCTTCGCGCCGCTTTCTTTTCGGAAGCGGGTCGGCAATTTTCGGCCACAGCCTCTTCGGCCAGAGGGCCGCGTGGCCGGGGGGGCAGTTGAAGAACTTCCGGGTCAACGTCCAAGCAGTTTGCACAGCTCAAGTCTAAGATACGTATAGTAGGACTTGAGAGGAGGGAGACACGAAAGGTAGGACAGCGGGAAGAGAAGAGAACGCGAGAGGCAGGAACAAAAATGCAATGTTCGACATGGTGATTTATCCCCTCGGAGGCGACCTTTCGTAAATATATGTTCATATGCACTCTAAATGTTCAAACATATGCTCTCGAAATGTTCAAAAAAAATCTTAGGAAAACAAACTTGCCCCATGGCTCAGATCATCGATGAGCATTGAATCGGAACATCATAGGATTTG